GCATAGCTTTTATAAAATCCATTAACCTCAGACCAATATGTTATTAATTTTCTGGCTTCAAGATATTTTTTACTATTGGTAGGTAGAAGATCATTCTCTCTGAAATATTGTAAGCGAGAGCAAATTCGGTTCACCCATTCGGTAGGAGTCTCATTCGATAAAACAATACCCATCTCCAGAATTTCATCCCATTCAGCATCGGTACAATTGGTTCCACGTCTTTCACTTAAGCTAGTCATTTTATACAAACTATTTATAGTGTTTTTCGAAATTATGTGATTATGTCGAATTTAAGGATTTAGACCTATTAGATTTAATAACTTTATACTCTAGAATAATACGATTCAATTTTAGTCCAGATGCTCGAAGAGCGCCCCATAGGGCCTGGATTCTCCAACCATCTCTTCAAGAGTGTTATATTCGCCATATTTTGTGGGGGTATTTGTGATGGGAATGAGTGAGATGTACATGTATATTGGTTGTAGTAAGATATAATGATAGAACCAGGTTTATTTTTCGTGAAAAAATAACGATTCATATAATTATTTGAGTCTTTGTTCCACGAGATTAATTTGTGATACCGCTAAATTATTTTCTCACTATATAGATTATGGAATTAATAAAACTGTATATAGCTTTACCGATAAGAAAAAATACAAATGAGACTCAAAATGATATGAATGAGGAGAGTTTATTGTTCTTTATCAGTAACAATATCAAAATTCATATGTCACGGAACTTGAGATCTTCACCATTTCCGAGATCGCCAAAATTTGTCTTATTTTTTATTCTACAAAAGCGATCGTCATTCTGAAAGGTTTAATTCCCATAAAAGGTGAAATATACTTTCCTCTTAGCGCTTGTGATTCTAATAGAGTTGCTTTATGGGGCAGAGATTCCGTTAATTGCAGGTGAAAAACATTTTTTTATCATATCATTGCCGAAGGCAGTCACGACTATGTTAATCTCTTTTTCTAGCAGGTTCCAGGTCAAGCGAATGAAACAATATAAATAAGCCGGATTTGCGAGGCGTCATTTTTTATATTTCCACAATTTTTTTAAGGTACGCATTATGAATGAATAAATTTTCGAGCCGGATTTAGTTACAACTTCACGTATATATTGATAATCTTGTTTTTCTTAGCATTCACGATGTCTACAAACGTTTTTTAATATATGAGAGGGGAAATAAAAGACTTTAATACTTATCATAAGAATATCCGGGTAAAGATCGAAGGGTTGAATGAAGATATTGCGAGGGTTTTTCTTGTGGATGCGAATGATGATCAAATTGTAATTACAGAGAACATAGTTTTTATAAATGCAACGACTAAAAAAGAAATTTTAGCTGTAGACGTTAAGGGCAAAAAAAGTTATCTCATAACTTGGATACATAGCTACGAGTTATCTGTAGATGGCGAAAAAATTTTTATGCTAAGTCAACGGAAAGAGCAACGTGGTTCGTTTGGATTGGGGGATTATTTGGTATAGAAGTAACTAGATTTTTTGTGTATTCGCATTATTATGTAATAGCGATACGTATTTTTTATTTCATATAATAAATCAAAGATTCTATGTAACCATTTGTCTCGATCAGAATTATGTGGATGTCCATGCTTTATTTTTTTCAAAATCACGTGCGTTCCAAATTGGAACGGAGATCACTTTGGCAAGAAAAAAAATTGAATGTGTCTAATTTGATATAATACGTCATTATACATAATATATTAATATGTCTCGCAATTCTAAGAATAATAGACGCAAAACTCAAGGTAAATTTACCACGAATCCTAAGCAGTATATGCAATTTAAAAACCGGGATAAGTACATACATATAATTGATGAAAATTTTATAACTATCATAAATAAGAATACGCAAGATACAAAAGCGATATTTGATTATGTAGAGATATGTAGATATTTAGAGATAAATAATCTCGATTCGGATATTCTCAGCATGTAGAGGAAAATTATCGGATACGTGTAATAATTATAATTAACCAGCTTATTTTTTATAACCGCTGAAAAAACTATATATATTTATTCGACATCAAATGATATAGTCGAACTATCTTCTAAATTTCTACTTGATCTACATGGACGTGTACTACGTAATAAGAACATATTAACTATTAAGATATTCCGTAAAATCAATAATTACTTGGAGAATTTTATTCCACAATCTCGATCGCTCTCCTGCCGGTAATTTTGAATCTATTGCATATTGGATTTTGTATGTCTTTTTTGCCAACTCTCGCTTAAATTCCTTAACAATTGCTAGGCTTTCAAAACTATAAAGGTCGACAACCCAGATGGGGACATTATGGCGTTCCATTCCTCGAGCAAAGTATCCAGAAAACTCTTTACCACCATCAGCCATTAACAACTTCGGCCATGTGAGAGGATTATTTGGATCATTGTATATTTCTTCGATTGCATTCCAAACTTCCAGACTATTTTTCGATGTCAATGACCGTGCACCTTTAAACCGTGTAGCAACATCTATGACTACCAAAGTATAAAGATATATTTTTCCACTTTCCTGATCATCACGAACATGAGGTAATAAATCACACTGATGAACTTTATTAGGAATTTTAATCTTTCCGAATCCTGCTTGAGCTTTGATTTTTTGTGGTTGCTGATGAATTTGGTTAACATATTGGTTCTTTAACCACTTTTTGATATCTTGCAGGAAAAAATGATCGTATCCTTCTCTCCAACAAGCTTTTTGTAACTGTTTTGTGGTTGTATAAAAACCAGGTACGTGATAGTAGATTAAACAAAGAACAAATTTTAATTCCTCATCTGCACTGATTATAATACTAGGTACACTCATTGCCATTATCACGAATATTATAATAGATACTATAAACTAAGGCTAGATATTTGATATGAATTTCCAAACCGATCCTGCGTACTTACAACTGCTAGATACTAATTGAGAGTTGCGTAAAGAGTTGGGTAAAGAAGTAGACATAAATCAAACAAACGAGAAAAAAATTCGCGTTCTCATAAAAGAGTTAGAGCAATGCAGTAGAACTATTTCATTTCAGGATACCACAATCATTACTTACGAAAAAGAAGTACAGGAACTCAAATCCCAAGTATCCGATTTGCAAAAACGTCTTCGGTCTGCTTTAAAGGATGTAGATAAAACAGAGAGTTATATACTTGTTCGAGAACAACAGTTGGCTATACTTGAAGAGGAAGTGATCAAGTTAAAAAATAGAATCCGAAAAATTACATCTCGGAAGTATAATAAACCTGTAATGGCTCAAACAATTCAAGCGCCAGGACCTAATGAATACCAGACCACATCTGAATCTGTTCGAAATGCATTCAGGAATATTGATGCTATATTACAGAGAACACCTGCCATCCCACGATCTACTATAGAAAATGAATTTACCGATATTAAAAATGCTGTAGCTAGGCTTTGAGATATAGCTGAGTGGGAAAACACCCAATCACAAGTCTATTATCAACAAGTCGGTAATTTAACCAATCAGTTGGCTAATACCAATAATAATTTTGATCTTATTAATCAGGCATACAATTTCCAGACGGGTCAATTACAAAATTGCCAAGCCGATTTACAAGATTGGCGTAGAAAGCATGCAAAGAGAAAAGCTAAACATATCAAGCAAAAGGCGAAACACAAAAAAATGGGAAAATAAGGAAAAAGGTTTGAGGCAAATAATTATAAATTTAATTGACGATCCGTCTATGAATGAGTGAGTTGTACATAGTGATCGGTGGGGGAAAATTGACACAAAAATGTCCA